AATTTTTAACATCCTTTTTTACCTCTCAAGCCATTTTTGAACAATATTTGATCTCTCGTGCAATTTTTAAACAAGTTTTATCTCTCGAGAAATGTCTACTATTTTATCTCTGAAGTAACTTTTAACAACTATTGTAATTTCTCTTGCAATTTTTGACCAATATATTTTACATTTCAAATGGAAACACACGCTGAAAAAAGTACTAGATTTTGTTTCGAGTGTACTAGAGTACCAGATGCTCAGAGAATGTACTAGATCTAGTACAATTGTACTAGACTGGCAACACTGATGGTGAGTCAGGGAGCATCGATATTTGTAAATGTTGAGATTTTTGTTGAGTTTAATTGTGTGGCAATCCCTGAAAAATCGTCTTAAAAAAACAGAGTAGTCCTTTGTATGTATGTTTGTTGTTATTGTTTCTGTCGAATTTAGTACAACCCAGTGACGTACGTCATGATGTAGTTTTCCAGCCGACTAGAAATCAAGGGGTACTTTTGGTTTCTATTCGGGAGGCTAGCCAATCACGACGTCTTGCCGTCGAGCCATAAACCAGCCACGGTGTGTTATCTGTTGTGTCGTCAGTGTTACCAGATCTCCTGTTTTAACAGGAGATCTCCTGTTTTCACTCTGAATCTTCTGTTCTACTGTTTTCACTATGAAATCTACTATTTTTAACATTAGTGTGTATTTCTATATTTTTTTCTATAAAATCTTCTTTTGATTTCAGTAATTTTCACTAGAATATTTTACTACGACACTGTGTTTAGACGGGATCCGGACAGTTTTTCGAATGATAATTATTCGAACGACAGTTCTTCGAACGACATTTATTCGAATGGACAGTTATTCGAAAAGACAATTCTTCGAACTGATAATTTTTCGAATGTACGATTCTTCGAATAGACAATTTTTCGAAATAAGTTGGTTTTATTTTATATAACACTTTTCACAGGCAATTTACAGAAAAATTCAAACAGCTGGCTTTAAACAGCGATATGACACCGACAAAAACTTTGCACAGCACATGAAGATTTTAGCTGCATTAGCTTTCATACCTACAAAATACATACAGCCATTTTTTAATGCATTAAGCGATGATTTTCCAGAAGAAGCTATCGAGGTTCTGGACTACTTTGAGGAAACATGGATTGGGATGATTCGTCGCGGTCGTCGAAGGTCACCGTTGTTTGATTGGGAAATGTGGAACTGTGTTAATAATGTTTTAAACAGTCAACTCAAGACTAACAACCACATTAAAGGTTGGCATCTTGCCTTCGAAAGCCAACTTTCGGCTAGCCATCCCACAATATGGAAGTTTATTACCGCGATTCAACGCGAACAATCCTTAACTGAAATGAGAATTTCTCAATTTTACTGTGGAACTCCCGCTGTGCCGAAGAAAACGAAGTACTTACAATTAAATATTAGATTACAAAATATTGTCACTCAGTTTTCTCCTAAAGACCCTGTAGAATACTTAAATCGTATAGCATGTAATTTGTCTTATAAATAAGTTTCTCGTTTCTTTTGTTATATAGTGTATATAGTATATATATATTATAAATAAGTCATGTATTAAAAAGAATTAATTGGAATAAAATCATTATTTTTATACAAAACGATTTTAAATTAAATAAAAAAAATAAATTATCTAAATTGAATTTCAGGTGCGACACCGAATGTTTTTTGTTTAAATTACCTACACCTTCCTCAATAATGTGTTTTCGAAAAATGGTCTGTTCGAACAATGGGCTCTTCGAAAAACTGGCCGTTCGAAGAACGATCCGTTCGAATAACTGTCCATTCGAAAAACTGTCCTTCGAAAAACTGTCGTTCGAAAAATTGTCATTCGAAAAACAGTCCTAGATCCGTTTAGACGACGATTGTCGATTACGATTTGGACAGCATTTCTGCCCGCTCAGAGCCAGAATACTTTTGTAATTTTATTTTATTATTAAAAAATTTGCATTTGTTTCCTTTACATGTATTTATAAATTTTTTTTAATATGTTATACCTACATCTTATGTGAAATTTATAATTTATTTATTTGACCTGTTATACTAACCGACTAGAAGGCGATTTGATTTACTTCAGCTTCGGTGGGATTTATCATTTTGACAATTGACAGTTGCTAAATTACGTGACGTTCCGATGTAAATGAAAAATATTAATATAACTCCCTACAGTTATATTTGTAATTTCTTATACTCTTACTAGGATCCTCTATTAAAAAATAGATTTATTAAAATCTCCTGTTGGAAAAAGCAGTCTCCTGTTTTTTTTTGACTATATTCCTACGGTTGTCAGAAATTTCCATCTGGCAACACTGTTCAGTAAAATCTACGTTGTCGTGGGGTTATGTCGCTTTGTCCTTTGAATTTACTTTACGTGTTTAGCGACGTCTAAATATTGTCAGGTTTTTATGCAAGCAGCCATGCCTCCTATTGGCATAATTGTCTACTCTTATGCTGAATATGTCTTCCTTAACGTCCCTAGGAAGACAATTATGGTAGAATTTCAGATACCTTGATAATATAGTCTTTTATAGGAGGTATGTCTGCTTGTGTGTGCATGTCAGTTATTCTGCTGTAGCGGTTGCCCCTAAGGACTAGCCTAAGACACCTATTTTGAATTCTTTGGAGTTTTTGTTAGTATTGGCCTGATAATTTGTTTGTATAGTAATATTCTCCTATTGAATGTTGTTTTACTGTTCCTATGTAGTGTGGGATATAGTGTTTTAATCCTGTATGTAGCTTTTGAGTTGTGCCTACCGAACGTTAATCTCTTATCCAGATGAAAACCAAGATACTTGATATAGGGTTTGATCTTTACCCTTTCATTTTTGACCTTGCAGTAGGTGATAATTTGATCATTTCGGCAATTTGAAAAAAAGGCGGTTTCGGTCTTACCCGTATTTAGTCTCATTTTATGTTCATCTAGATAGGGGATCAACGTTCTATTAATACGGATTTCCAGTCTTGTGTTGGCGATTTCCGCAAAATCTGAACTCTTGTATAAATAAATATCGTCGGCGTACAGTGCCATCTCTACCCCATTATGACCCATTGGTATGTCATGAGTCATAATGGTGTAGAGAAGCGGCGAGAGTACTGATCCTTGAGCATTATAGCAGAAGATCTAATAAACCCTGTGGAAAATTTAAAAACCCAAACAGGGGGATACACTAAAACTGGAGTGGAAACATTAGAACTACGTCTTAAAACGCATTTCCCTGATTTGATTGCACAACAAACTCGAATGCAGCAAACCAAACCCATACGAACTGGAACTCTCAAAAAAGGGTCTCCAGCCAAGAGTGGGAAACTGCTAAACGAGTAGTTACAACAGAGAAAATAACATGGGCAATACATACAAAACCATACAATCCATACAAATAACCGGGACCAGATGGGGTACTGCCTGTGCTTTTGCAACAGGCAATAGAAACGCTGGCCCCGCATATTTGTAGGCTCTACAGGTCAAGTTTGGTGCATAAACATACACTAAATACCTGGAAACAAAGCAGAGTTGTCTTCATACCTAAACCTGGGCGTCCAACGTATGCCGTGGCAAAGGCCTATAGACCAATAACACTGACGTCATTTCTATTAAAAGGATTAGAAAAACTGATTGATCAGCATGTCCGGCAAAGTATTCTGATAGGGAGGTTCATACAAATCAACATGCCTATCAATCAGGAAAATCTTGAGAGTCTGCTCTGCATCATCTTGTAACCAAGATAGAGAGAGGACTTAGTAGCCAAGAAATAGTCCTAGGAGCATTTATTGACACAGAAGGAGCTTTTGATAATACCTCCTTTGAATCAATGGTAGCTGCCGCTCGGAAACATGGAATAGAAGACACCATATGCTGGTGGATACAAGACATGTTATGCGGACGGTAAGTACAGACACAAATGTTCAGTGAAACCATGCAGGTAAATATCCACAGGGGACGCCCACAGGGTGGAGTCCTATCTCCTCTACTGTGGAACCTAGTGGCAGATGAACTGCTGAAAACCCAAATAATCAAGGACTGTACGCCCAAAGATATATATGCCGATGACATAGTCATCCTTATCCGAGGGAAACACCAAACCACAATCTTTGAACTCATGCAAAGAACTCTTAGGCTGACAGAAATGTCGTGCGTTAGGGACACAATAGAACACCGTCCTCTGCCCTTATTGTAATAGTAATAATAATAATAATAAACCTCTTGGTAAACCCTGACAAGGCACAACTCATAACCTTTACTCGGAAAACAAGGTTGGAGGTTTTACAAACTCCGACTCTGTTTGGAGGAAGGCTAAACAAAACGAACCAAGTAAAATATCTGGGTCAAATCCTAGATAGCCAACTTACTTGGAACCAACACTTTCAAAAAGTGACCAACAAATGTAAAATATCTCTCATTGTAGGGAGACGGGCATTTGGAAAAACATTGGGATTAAAACCAAAAATGGTCCACTGACTATATTTGGCAGTAACAAGACCCATGATAACTTATGGAGCGGTTGTTTGGTGGCCAAAAGTAAACCAGAAAACAGCATTCATTACCATATCAGGAGTAAAGAGGCTGGCATGTTACGTCGGCTGTGGTTCTGGGTATGGGTAGGGCTGATGGTATAAAATTATGTGATGTAGATAGGGCTGGTTTTGGGGGAGGGGATTATCAATGTTTCGATCGATGTTGATTTCATCTTCCGAAGAGGATGTATCGTTATCAGCTTGGTAGTCTAGAAGGGTGGATTTGAAGCTTTCTGGTATGTCTATTTGTTTAATGGTAATTACAGATTAGTTTATGCGATTGTCGGCTATTAGGACATATTTCAGTCCTTCAGCTTCTATTTCATAATGGGTTTTTTGACTATGGTCGGTACATCTCTCCTTCTGGGTGGCTTTTAAGTCGATGTCTTTTTAATAGCACCTATAATTTCCTTTTTTGACTATATTTACTTCTGTGGTGGTGGTATTTTCATTGTTACTTTTCCACTCACGTTCGAATTGAAAAACGGCTTTTTCTTGGTTATTATTTATTTGAGTATCGATATCAACGTCATTTTCGGAGGAGTTTGTCATCGGTAAGTCTTCATAAGTGATGTCCTCATCCATCAATTCATCATTGTTATCTCCATGCTGCGAAAGTATGGACAACACGTTCTCCATACTTTTTTCCACGCTCTCCATACTTCTTTTTAATACAGAATTTTTATGTCCATATTCTCGGTTTACCGGGTTTAGGAGACTGTTTAGGAGGACGTGTGCCGTCCTTAGTAGTGTGGGGGCTATCTTTTTGACCACTTTTTGGGATGTAACTTTCTCCTTATTTTCTTTCCGAAGAAAAATTTGGCTTGGATTTATTTTGAATATGGCACTATTTTTTGATGATTGTTTAAGTTTAGTACTCACGGTTTTCAGTGTCCTATTGTCCTTGCTCACATTTACATTAACTTTAAGATTATTGTCTAAAGCTTTTTCACGAAGTCTTGTCGAGTAAGCTATTTCGGTGCTTTCGCTACGATTATCACTGTATTTGGTATGGTCGGCCCCATCTGGCTCCGTCATTTGTGGTTTCACTCACTCCGAATTACTTATAGTCAGTTTGCATGTGATCATTCACGAAATCACTAATGCAAATGAAAATAAAATTTGTATTTTATTTCGACCCACTGCCGCCGCTGGAATCAATAATTATTGTAGCACAAAAACAAAAGAAATACAAACTTATTCTGATAAGAGAGCCGCTTTGTAAACGTCTTAATTTCTGTTTTAATTTTTCTAAGCATACATTTCTAATACTTTCATTTTTAAATCTTCATTTCTGTCATTCCGAAGTCTTCATTTATAAGTCGTCATTTCTATGTCTACATTTCTAAGACTTAATTTCCAAATTTTTATTTCTACTCAAAATATTTATTACTGACCGACAAATCATCAAACCTTAATTCAAATATCCATTATCATCGTCAACAATGTTATATTCTATTCGTAGGTATTAATAATATAATATTTAATATGTCTATCAGATACAAATCGTAATAATAAAAAAAACTAGATCGTAAATATTCATTTTACATCAAGGAAAATGTAAAAAAAAACTATTTGTATTTTTACGCATGATAAATTATGTATCCATTTTATCGACAACAGTTATTTTTATAGAGCACAGAACATAAACTCAAATCACATAAATAAAAGCTTACATTTATTTAATATACGATATAGGTAAGTATATATTATTATATGATACAATACTTACAACTCAGATAATAGAACAAAGGTTATTTAATAATATTTAATGTCAGTAATAAAGCAATTTGTCGTATGGTATATGGGTTTGGTATGTGATAAAAAAAGAAACAAACTAAATTAATTAATTCAATAGATATAATGCAATTTTTTAATTCAGTATAACAATTATCTCCAATAAAATGTAGCTGTAGATTTTTAAATTTCTACCTCTATCTAAAGAGCCCCGACCAGAATTCTGGTAGAAAGGTACCTAGATCGTTTATATGGAAAATTATTAAGGTTTGGATACAGGCTAAGTCTTGAGTAATTCCCATATTGGTGTTGAAGAGCAATATCATGATTATATAACAAATCTAAGTAATTTTTATATATTATTTAATAAAGCAAATACATATTCTTTTTCTTGACAATTGTTGACATCAATTTAAAAAACTGAGTACAATACAGTCATGACAATCCAATACAGACTTATATGATTAATAATAGAATAATACTCCCTAGAAATTGTTATTCAAATTGATAATAATAAACTACATCTACAATAATAAAACTTCTTCTATAAAAACATGGACAGACACGAAAGAACATTAAAATAATAATCATAATGTCAACAATAACAGAAAAAACAGCTGCATCGTTTAAAATAGTTTCTGATTTAAACTGATTACACATTTTAAGGATTTATTAACGTCTATGTAAGTTGATTTGTGTACATCAAAAATTAGACGTAATAGTACAAATTAAAATATCCTTCTTGAAAGAAAATAAAACTAATTTAATTAAGTAGCCATAAATAATATGCAAGCAAAATTAGTTGATAAACATTTAATGTGAAATAAATGTAAAATAAATTTGAAATAATTGTGAAATAAATGTGAAATAAATGTGAAATAAATGTGAAATAAATGTGAAATAAATGTGAAATAAATGTAAAATAAATGTGAAATAAATGTTAAATAAATGTGAAATAAATGTGAAATAAATGTGAAATAAATGTGAAATAAATGTGAAATAAATGTGAAATAAATGTGAAATAAATGTGAAATAAATGTGAAATAAATGTGAAACAAATGTGAAATAAATGTGAAATAAATGTGAAATAAATGTGAAATAAATGTGAAATAAATGTGAAATAAATGTGAAATAAATGTGAAATAAATGTGAAATAAATGTGAAATAAATGTGAAACAAATGTGAAATAAATGTGAAATAAATGTGAAATAAACCCGAAGTTAATTTATATTTAACGTAAATTTATTGTGAATTTAGGGTAAATTTAATGTGAATTTAATGTGAATTTAATGTGAATTTAATGTGAATTTAATGTGAATTTAATGTGAATTTAATGTGAATTTAATGTGAATTTAATGTGAATTTAATGTGAATTTAATGTGAATTTAATGTGAATTTAATGTGAATTTAATGTGAATTTAATGTGAATTTAATGTGAATTTAATGTGAATTTAATGTGAATTTAATGTGAATTTAATGTGAATTTAATGTGAATTTAATGTGAATTTAATGTGAATTTAATGTGAATTTAATGTGAATTTAATGTGAATTTAATGTGAATTTAATGTGAATTTAATGTGAATTTAATGTGAATTTAATGTGAATTTAATGTGAATTTAATGTGAATTTAATGTGAATTTATTGTGAATTTAATGTGAATTTAATGTGAATTTAATGTGAATTTAATGTGAATTTAATGTGAATTTAATGTGAATTTAATGTGAATTTAATGTGAATTTAATGTGAATTTAATGTGAATTTAATGTGAATTTAATGTGAATTTAATGTGAATTTAATGTGAATTTGATATGAATTTAATGTGAATTTAATGTGAATTCAATGTGAATTTAATGTGAATTTATTGTGAATTTAATGTGAATTTATTGTGAATTTAGTGTGAATTTAATGTGAATTTAATGTGAATTTAATGTGAATTTAATGTGAATTTAATGTGAATTTAATGTGAATTTAATGTGAATTTAATGTGAATTTAATGTGAATTTAATGTGAATTTAATGTGAATTTAATGTGAATTTAATGTGAATTTAATATGAATTTAATGTAAATTTAATGTGAATTTAATTTGAATTTAATGTGAATTTAATGTGAATTTAATGTGAATTTAATGTGAATTTAATGTGAATTTAATGTGAATTTAATGTGAATTTAATGTGAATTTAATGTGAATTTAATGTGAATTTAATGTGAATTTAATGTGAATTTAATGTGAATTTAATGTGAATTTAATGTGAATTTAATGTGAATTTAATGTGAATTTAATGTGAATTTAATGTGAATTTAATGTGAATTTAATGTGGATTTAATTTGAATTTAATATGAATTTAATGTGAATTTAATGTGAACTTAATGTGAATTTAATGCGAATTTAATATGAATTTAATGTGAATTTATTGTGAATATAATTTTTAATATATGTGAATTTAATTTGAATTAAATTTTGATTGAATGTGAATTAATTACGAATTTCATTTTTTTAGTAGTGAGGCAATGATAAACAAAAATAATCCCACAAAAATATTTTAGACCTAAAAGTGAAGAAAAACAGTACTTTACAACTTCAAAGTTAAAATTAGTATACATTACGTTAAAAAGTTAATTTTTTTAAATGGAAAGTTTTACAATGGCCCTTAAGCCGAAACCGGTTGTCATTGTTGTACTATTGAAGACAACTACTACATTTAAACAGTTAGATACTCTTCTTCATTTAAGTTAATTTAAATTTAACATCTTTTATTTTTATAATACCAACATACAGCTGTTACACCTAGTTGAAATAAATTTTTCCATAAAAATTTAAATTTTAGAAAAATGTTCAATTATTATATAACATATAAATGTATTGCTATTAATATGATTCCAAAATTTAATATTCGTCTAAATATATAATAAGAATCTTGTACTCCAATTTTGCGACGATATTTTTCCAGAATGAAAGAAATTAAATTTGTCCTTTTGTGCGGCATACCGTATGACTTTCAATTTTCTCTGAGGGCTTAAACTTTCCTCAACGTTTCTTCCTCATTTTACACGATAATGTGATTATCAGTGAAATTTTCCTGTTGCGAATTTTTTCTATTACCTCGTCTGAATATTCTCTCACGTTAACACTTAGAGACTAGTCAACGAAGAATAAAAAATATTCATCTGGTATAGTTGAATTAACAGAGATTTATTTTAGTAAACCTAGGGGTAGAATACATTAGCCTGTTTGTCAGCATAACGGTATTTGAAAATAATATATTTTAAATAATTTTGTACAAAAAAAATATATAAAACATACATTACACAATATATAAAACATACATAAAAAATATATAAAGTAATATATAAAAAATATACAAAAGAATATATAAAATCCATTAATTTTTCACGTATTTGCTTCCCAATCTTCTAGAATTTGATGAACTGTGTAGTGTGCCAAAATTCATATAATAAGAGTATTTTCTCATAGGTAAAGTTATGTGGGCATATACGTAGACTACAGTGTCGATCACTGAACGGTATCCAACATGCTCTGCACAAGTTAGCATTAGGGCTAGCAGGAAACGAGTAATACCAGCGTTCCCAGTTTATACGGCTTGGCCACGTTGTAATGTTGGCGAGAGAATATATACAGAGACAATAAACAGTAAAACATTAGCATTAAAGTTCAGTAATAAGTAATTGAGTTTTGAATGATGAGAAGGGAATATTAAACAGCCTGAGATCGTTATGCAAGTTAACTAATCTAAGCATTCGCTGTTAAAAGTTTGGGTTGATCTGTCAAAAGGTATATAAAAAAAAAATTATTTTTTTAAGAAGTTACGACAATTACATCTACTATTTATATTATTAAATAGCAACTTTAGGTCTCTTTGTTTTCACCTAGTATCCAAGGAGGAGAGTTATTTATGCATTAAATTTTTTGTAATGAATGTTTCTGGATGTTTTAAAATCTCTACAATAATTTTCTTTAGAAGAAAAGTCACAGGATTCTGGACACTGAAGAAAGAAGGAACAGTTATTAGGAGCTCTCAAAAAAAATCCTGTTTGATGGTTTTTATGATATAATTTCAATGGTGTACTCTATAGTTTATCCTAGTGAAGTAGAGAATATCACAAAGTTTCTACTTGTTAATCAGTAGATTTATTGCTTTCTCATTTTTTATACTCAACGATGTATTTTTTAAGTTTAGTATTACCAATATCACTATTATTAATATTATTTGTCAGAGCTTAGAGATGATTGATGGGGTAATTTGAATACTATTCTATTTTACTATTACATTTTATTCGCAACA